GAGTTGTTCACACACGTCAAGCAACTGGGCACCTGAGGGACGCTCCCCTCGGATCCCCGCACTGTCACTGTCGAGGTGTGTCCACCTACTGTCGAACCCAACATACCACATCCGTCACATTATGGTGGAGACCCTGGATCATGCAGTCAATTCATTCATCAGTGTAGTTTGATTTATTGATTTATTTGTTTTATTTATTTATTTATTTATTTTAACCATCAACCCTCCACCCACTCCCATGATAGTTCTAAAGTCACATTTGTCATGAGTCTATTGACTGGCCAGGCTAGTTCTTGGGCTAGGGCCGTGAGCAACGCGCGACCGGAACTTCGGTCGCCCTTCTCCGAATTTCTTGCTGATTTTCATCGTGTGTTTCACCACCCAGTTCCAGGACAGGAGGCCAAAAGACAACTGCTCGAGTTTAACCAGGGTAGTCGGTCTGTGGCTGACTATTCCCTCAAGTTTTGTATATGAGAGATGGAAAGTGGTTTTGACAAGCGCGCAATGCAACATTTTCCGTCATGGACCAAGTCCCTCCCTCAAGGATGAGATGGCGGTTCACGAGACGGCAACTAACCCTGAGGAATTCATTATTTTTGCTATCCGTCCGGAGAATCACATGATGGGGAGACACCTGGAATGTGGGCAGGAGTACACCGAGCAACATCAGACACCCTCAGTGACAGCAGAAGGCGATTGCTCTGAGACTCACTGAACACTTCAGTTGGACAATACCAAAAACCTGAAAAGACTTCAACCCCATGGCGGGTGTCAGCTTATGGGAAAATATGTAAAGTTATGACCATTGTAGATTCCGTTACCAAAACATGTTTTGTAGATCTGTGTTTCAAAGAAGAGATGGTGTCCAATTGAAGAGCGAAGGCCAATTAATTGGGTATTTGACCCAGACGAGCGTCTCCTGGTGGACGTTAAACATATCACCGGTCCTATTCAGTTAAGACTCTCAGACACACATTTTGAATAGAGGAGGTTTCTGGTCATACCCTCTCATGTGGCGCTGGTTGCGTTTGCCATGGCTAAGAAACCATAACCTGGACTTTTACTGGAACAGACCCACCTTGGAGAGTTGGGGTACATTCGGTCATGATTACTGCCTGAAATCAGCATAGGTAGGGTGCTGTCCACCTGTCTACAACTCCTCTTCCTCATTGTCCAAGAGTTGCCAAGGACCTGATACTCTTTCTGGACTCCACGACCCGGAGGCCGCGACTTGTCCCTGTTCCGGCGGCGCACACTCTGCGGCCGCAACTCGCCTCTGCTCCGGCGGCGCACGTCTCACGGACACCACCTGTCTCTGCTCTGGTAGCGCACACCCTGCTGCCACCACCTTATCGGACTTGTCACTACGTCATACCTTCAACTCATCCAAACCCTTGAAACCAGGTAGTCCGCCCGGAGGCATCCATTGTAGTGGGGTGGGGGGTTTACGGTGATGATCCTGTCCTGTTTGCTTTGTTTTTCCAGTCTCCAGCTGGGGAGTGGCTGCACCTGTCTGTAATCATGCCTCGTAACCAGCTGCTTTTAAAGATTCTGCCACGCCAACAACTCGCTGTCAAATTTTTCGACTCTTGTCACCAAGTGCCTCATTATTTGAGACATTTTTGCCTCTTAGTTTCTCGGCAAGTTTTTGTATTTGTGTTTTTTCTTGGAAGTAGTTATTTATTTTTTAATATTATTGTGTATTGTATCCTTATCCTTTAAGCGACAAGCAATTTACGATTTTCTTGTTCCTTGTCTTGCAAGCATTTTTGGTTTATTTTGCTTTTTCCTGGTTATTTGTTATCACAGTCTTTCCTTGTATTTTGTCGGTCCTGCGTTTTGTAAATAAACATTTTTGTTACCTATCTTTGTTTATGTGGTCCAATCTCATCCAGTTTATTCTAGAGACATAACATTTCCCCCTCATAGATACAATATGATTCAAAATATGGTTTAATTCGTGTTTAACTGAGAGCGTGTCCACAGTTTCTTCCCCACAAAAAAGTCTTTGCTGTGTTATAAAACCAGCACAAAAAGCATAGCAAAACCTGCCCCCCCCCCACACCCCCACAGCAAAACCAGCATATTCTGTGAGCACCTAAATTAATCTATGATGGAGTGTTTTCAACAGGGTTGAATTGGATTTTCAGAAGAAAAAAAAAAGCGCCATAATTAACACTCGATCACGCAGTATGGAGGCCCTCTCTGATTTGCTTCATTATTTCGATGTCAGATTAATTGAACTTTTGAAGGTGTTGTTCATCTGAAGGTATTTCGATGTCAGATTAATTGAACTTTTGAAGGTGTTGTTCATCTGAAGGTTTACATTTCAGTGGGGTTTTGTGTGTGGCCCTCACAGATTTGGCATGGTAGCACAGCCTGGATTTTTTTTAGGGGGGATTCAGCCAGCAAAGCTGATTTTACTTCGCAATGTGAAATATGATAGGAATGTCATGAATGAGAAAACAAAAGAACAGAAAGAAGAAATTAGTCCGCCTTTAGAAATCTGCCATTTTGGCTCAAAACTAACATTTTGTGTCATTTTGATTATCTTATTAAAAATTATGAAAATTATATAATGTTGAAATGTCTAAAAATAAACACTCAATGAAAATCACCAAAAAAAACAACTTAAGTAGAGATCTGAATCAACTGAGCCACTGATATTTCATTTGGTAGTTTCAAAAATACAATTGTGAAATTTCTTATACATTTCAGTTATTTTTGCACCCATTTCTGAGTGGCTGAGAGGCCTTGAGTTGAGTTGAAGTAGCCGTAATGATAGCTTCCTTAACCCCCGTGCAATGCAGGTACACTTCATGTACACTTGACATGCGTTGTGTTGCAAAAACGAATGCATGCCATGCATGGGTTTTAAACCTGTGGCATGCATTCGTTTTTGCAACACAACGCATGTCAAGTGTACATGAAGTGTACCTGCATTGCACGGGGGTTTTAAACATGCAGGTACTTTATGACTGGACTTAAAAAAACCCAACAACAAAAACAACAACAACAAAATGTTTATGGTCCATATGCAGTATAAAAGAAATTGAGGATGCTTGGTGGGATTCACTATGACCATATAGTTTGAGTTATTAGCATTCAAACTTTGAGATCACTTTTCCAGTAGGCACACCTGATTAAATGTCCAGTCAGTCCATATCATGCATAATACACGTCTCAGCCAACTCCATCCCTGTCCCCCCATGCAGAATATGTTTGGGGAGAAACCACCGATCCCAGAATACAAGGTAGCGGCCATCCAGAAGTCGCGCTTCATCCTGCTCCACTATGGCACCTTCAAGGCCGGGTGGGACTGGCTGATCCTACTGGCTACCTTCTATGTGGCCGTCACCGTGCCCTATAATGTTTGTTTCACTGTGGTGGGTGGACGAGATGAAGGCAACGCCCCCAGAAGCCCCCCCAGCGTCAGTGACATCCTGGTGGAAATCTTATTCATGCTAGGTAAGATCCTAGAAGGACTCTTCTGGAAGTTTCTCTGCACAGCACTGGCGAAATATAGCAGATGGTTATTTGTTAATGTTTGACAGGCAATTTATCAGTTGTCAGCTCACGATAATGGCCCAAATGCTAGTTATGGTAACATATACGGTATTGTTAAATTGACTAACAGCGGCTGTACTAATAGAACAAGGAATACATTGATACCTTGACTGCAGTGCCGCAACTTATGAGTTTTTGGAACAATGAGCCATCGCTTGGTCAATTTATTTAAATTTTTTTTTTTGCTTTGTGTTATGAGCCAAATTTTAATCAGAAGCAAGCTGCAAATACACCACCACTAGAGTGAAGCGAAAAAAAGGTCAGCTAACTTCGCTCATGCATTTTACGCTTTAAACGTGGCAAAAATTCAGTCACACAAATACATAATAAACAATTGCATTCATGGCTCTGACTGTCTACTAAGCCCCCTAAAATATTTACTTATTACACTGCAACAATGCACAATATAAAATATTGTTGTTGTAGTTGTTTATTTATAAAGCCAAACGTCCCCAAATTTTTTTGTGACAGTTCCCACGTAAGACATCCTCATGCATAATTGGGATTGAAGCAAAAAAAAAAAAAAAAAAAAGATTAAAAATATCACTCACCACTAGCTCCTCTTCATTAAGCCTAGTCATATGCCGTATTCCGACAAGCGTTACGACAGTAATGTCACCGTAAAGCATCATGGTATTGGTGCAATGTCCTGCAGCTGATGAAAAAAGTTGTCATTGTCTGCACAGTATTGGAAATAATTATCTGGCGATGAAACATCACTTTGCATCGCTGCCCTTGATGTTCTGTTCCTTGGTCATGATGCCGCTGGTATGACTCTATTAAGGCTGGTTGTGATCGGGCTTGCCAAAGCTAGCGATATGATGCTAACACTGATTCATGTCTCTTTTATCGTATACCTGTTGCATTTTTTTTTTTGTTTTGTCATCACATCCTGGGTTGTTTTGGAGATTAAGTTCTTTGTCATTTTTGGGCCATTTTTAGTAGCTGATTCCTGGAGATTTTGGCCTGTTTGGGCCCCTGTCTGAAGGTAGGTGGTAGCCCGTGACAGGGGAACACTGGCTCCGGGTAACCATTAATGTCGAACCCTGTCAGGGCTAAAATGAAGACAACATGAATAAAGCGAAACCTGATTTATTCTTGCTGAAAATTCAAACAAAGCTGCCTATTACATAATTATATTGATGTGCAAACTTTGCTGGAGAACCTCACACCATTATTTTATTTATTTATTTATTTATTTTAATGACAAACTTGATTCATTAGCATTACTCCATCTAAGATCCAAGGTCCATTTGATGTCTTCTGTTGCCCATTTTATTGCAAGATTGTTTAAAAAAAAAAAAACACACACTCCAAATTGCCTATAGATGTTTGGGCTGGCTCTTGACTAGGGTGGTCCATTTTGGAAAAGTTTGTCGGATTCGTCGGGCCGGGTCGGAAATCTTGTCGATACTATGACACAAGGATGTGTGCAAAATTTTATTCCGATCGGATAATTTTATCCCGTCCCGCAGAGCGACCAAAGTTTCCCCTATGGAAAGAATGTTACGGGGCTGAATGGTAGTACGGTTTCTCCCGTACAGTAAGGATTTTGTTTTGCTCAGTTCGCACTTGTAATAATTCAAAGACGGAAGACAGGAACGCATGTATTGCAACAAAGGCAACCGTGGTTATCCTTCAACACTGGTGAGATTGTTGGTCCATGTTAACTGGTCCATCTGTCTATCTGTCCATCTGTCTATAATGTCCATCAACACTAGTGACACTGTTAGACCGCAAAAAAAACGAAATCCGCCGTGCGTGCCATCCCATGCCTACTTCGCGCACGGGTGCAACGCCCGGTGTCGCTCCACGACCTGCAGAAGGTGCTGTCGCTGTTCCTCGTCGCGCGTAATGGCGCCGCAGAACGCGCTGATGAGGGCGACGCCCCTCTCCGCAAAGTCGTTCACCACCCGTAGGTGACGAGCGCGCCGACGAGCCGTGGTGAAGTCGTCCCTCTCTGACCACTCGGCCGGATCGACGTTGAGGAAATCGTGGCCGGCTCCGAGGGCGGTGATGAGGCCGACAGAGTTGGTCGTCGCAAACGACGCCAGCGAACGCTGCTCCACTGCCTCGAGGGCGACGTGGGCACGGCGAGGCGGGTTCTTCTCGCCCAGCCGCTCCTGCATGGCGCTGGCTATAGCCCGCTTCTCCTCGACCGCCGTCGCCTCGTCGAAGAGGGAGGAGTACACATGTTCACCCTATTGAGACCAGTTGTTATGGTGGAAACTTTGGCCGCTTTGCGGGACAGGAAAATATCATCAGATCGGAATGAAATTTTGCACAGAACCTTGTACCATAGTATCGACAAGAATTCCGACCCGGCCCGACGAATCCGACAAACTTTTTTTTTTGCCATGAAAATGTGGACCACCCTACTCTTGACACATGAACAAAAGCCGACGATATGGATGAATCGTACATAATATATGCCATGACTCTTGTTGAAATTAGATGGAAACACACCCCTATTCATCTGATGGCCTGTATAATAACCCTTGACCTCTTTGTAACAACTCGCTTGATCTTGTAAGAACAAATGGGAGAACACTAGGAGCTCTCCAAAGTGCCCCTTTCTGGATATATTACATTTATAACTTGACCAACCACAATAGTTGTTGGTCATCATCTGTTCCGCTGTGGTAGATACAAAGAAACTGCACATCTCATGAGTCCCATCATCAGTCATCCTTAAGTTTCTTGATACAAAGAAAAGTTTTTAATGAGTGATTTGCAGCAGAGAGGAAGGATATGAGCCATTTGCTACTGAACATTATGTCTGATGGCTTGAGTAATTTCCTAGAGAATAACTGGCCTGTTTGTCCCTCGTCTAAGTGACGGAAATGTGAACCATTGCCCATGGGAGCCCAATTGTTCTTAATGCAAAACGTGGGTACGCCATCTCTCAATCAAATTACACTTGCCACCCACAACAGTTAAATAGCGGACCCCTGTCAGTCTATAAGCCATTTATTGGAACTTACTGGCCAGTGTTGGGTATCAACATTTTCTATAATGTAATGAGAAATGTCCTCGTTATAGCTAATGTGTATTTTTGACAAGTTATAGCTGCAGCCTTTAAATATTTATACGTTTTGGTTTTGTGTGGAGCGTGTGTATACTATCTATTAATTGTTTGTAAGAACGTTTATTTCTTTTCCACTTTCATTGTTTTGCCTCATTTTTTATCCGCAGACATTGTGCTGAACTTTCGAACCACCTTCGTGAGCACATCAGGTCAGGTGGTATACGACGCCCGCTCCATCTGCGTTCACTACGTCACCACCTGGCTCTTTGTGGACCTCATCGCTGCCCTCCCCTTTGACCTACTCTATGCCTTCAACGTCAGTGTGGTGAGTCTTGTCTCTGATGTTTCCTGACCTCATAACTCTAACAACAATTAGTGTACCATCGTCCACCTGAGTGTGACATTTGTATTCTCGTTCTTGTCTTTATATAATTCCAGGCATGTCAAAAACCACATAAACATGACATTACAAATAATAACAGTCAACACACCTATTAATACATTTCCTACACATACCTTTTCAACATCCCAGAAAAGGGGTAGGAAGAAGTACAATTTATTTCATCCTACCCCTACTCCAATATTCATTAATTACCAAAAACGATGATGATCCTGACTCCAGTCTCACATATCAATGTCACAAACAATAGGTTTATGTTTTCAAAAACTATACCGCCGACACCCCGCAAACCTGCATCCCAAGTACCATCATGTTTACAATGTGAAGTACCTGAAAACATTACCCCATATTTTCAGCCCTATACCGAGTGAAAATAATCAGTCTGAGCCGTTTCCTGAACAGATTCATGCTTGGATAGGGTTTCAGCTCATCACTAAGTCCAAAACTTCACACCACGGACTGGAATGCAAACGCTCTTCATGGTTGTTCCAACAATCCGGGCTCTAATGTTTTTTCCTGTAATTATAAGCTCTCTCTCGATTGGTGAAAAGTTGATGTAAATTACTGCTTATCCGGGTTTGGGTCGCGAAAGCAGCAGCTTCAGCAGGGAACCCCAGACTTCCCTCTCCCCAACCACGTCTTCCAACTCTTCCAGAGGGATCCCAAGGAGTTCCCAGGCTAGCCGAGAGATATAGTCTCTCCAGTGTGTCTTTGGTTGTCAACGGGGCCTCCAAGCAGTGGGACACGCCCCGAGGCATCCATGAGGCATCATGATCAGATGCCTAAGCCACCTCATCTGGCTCCTCTCAACATGGAGGAGCGGGTACTCAATTCTGAGTCCCTCTCGGATGACAGAGCTTCTCACCCTATCTCTAAGGGAGAGCCCGGAAACCCTGCAGAGGAAACTAATTTTGGCCCCTTGTGTCCGGGACCTTGTTTTTTTGATCATGACCAGAGGGTAGGAACGTAAATTGACAAGTAAATCAAGAGCTTCACCCTTCGGCTCAGCTCTTTCTTCACAACGACAGACCAATACAGAGTCCGCGTCACAGCAGACTCTGCCCCGATCCGCCTGTTGATCTCACGCTCCAACATACATACACTTGTGAACAAGAACTCAAGATACTTAAACTCCTCCACTTGGGGCCGGATCTCATCCCGGACCTGAAGAGGACACTCCACCCTTTTCGGACTGTGGACCATTGCCTCAGATTTGGAGGTGTTGATTTTTATCCCGACCACTTGACACTCGGCTGCCAAATGCTTCAGTGAGAGTTGGAGATCACGATTTGAAGCCAACAGTACCATGTCCATGCATCCATCCATCCATTTTCTATTGCGCTTGTCCTCGCAAGGATGTCCTCACGTGTCTGAGATGTCCTGCAGCAAACATTCATCTGAGAGATTGTTGACATGCCTGTAGGTGCTGATGTTTTGGTTACTCATTGGAGTTCAGATGGGGTCATCAGTTAATGGTTACTCTATAGTCACCACTCTTTAAATTTTATTTTTATTTATTAATGGTGTTTTGCAAATTTGAGGAATGAATTGCACCGCATCCCTTGCAGTACTTTGGAGTGCACCTGTTGAAGACTGTGCGTCTGCTTCGCCTGCTGCGGCTGCTGCAGAAGTTGGAACGTTACTCCCAGTACAGCGCCGTAGTCCTCACTCTGCTTATGTCCATGTTCGCCTTGCTGGCCCACTGGATGGCTTGCGTCTGGTACTTCATCGGACGCAGGGAGATCGAGAGTCCGGGATCCTGGGACATTGGTGAGTAGACCTCGGACACTGTACAGTATGGAAGACATTTTTTTTTTTTTTTTTTTGCTTTCACAATCCCAAAAAATCAGCACACAACCACTCGACGTTCATCACATAAGTCAAAGCTGGGCAACTTAAATGCTGCCACAATTTTTCATCATTGCTACTCAGGGCTCACATAGGACCACAGACTTCCCCCGATGTGCGAGAAAAATACAGTTTTAGACATGGATATGGTGCAAAATACTGTATGTGCTCTCAACATAGTCATTTATTCGTACAATACATTTCTCAATGCATGTATAAAAGCTCAATTATTCTCATCCAGCAACAAAGGATTTGAAGCAAACAACAAACAAAAGGTGATTTTTTTTCCCTCCCAGTGCACAGGGCTGTCATGCACAAAAATTACAATTCAAGGACCACACAAAACAGCTGAATACCATAGCATCAGTGTAATTTCAATCTAATATTGTTTTTTTTAACATGTGAATATACAGCACCTGATATGAACTAGCAAACTAAAGTGCCTTTCTTCAGTAGCTGCTGTTTGAGCCTTGGGGCAGCAATGAGCTCTATTCATCATAAAATGCACATTCATCTTGTTCCTTGTTCCCAAAATAGACCTGTACAAGTATTTCTTTCACACTACAGCTCTCCAATGATTGCAGTGAAGTTCCAGTCTTTGGGACACAGTATTTCAGTACCATTGGACAGTTATCGATGCTTTCGCTTCCTTTTAGGGATATTCAATGACACTTTTTTTCAGACCGATAGCAGTGTGAATATTTACTACATAAGTTTGCACCTATACAGAAACCGATGCCACTAGCACTTTGGACAGATTGATGCTTTTTTTTTTTTGTTTGTTTTTTTTTGGGGGGGGGGTGTTGGATTCACCAATGGTTAGTTTAGTTTAATAACTCTCATCAAAGTTTGAACTTGTTTCTGGATGCTTTGCACAACCACAGTCTGAAAATCTAACTCAAAAAACTACAAAATATAGGTACATGCAGGTCCCAAAAAAGTCAGCAACCGATGAGCATAGCTTTCTGTAGAATACGAATGGGTGATTAAAAGCGCAATTTTACCTGGCCTGCATCAAGAGAAAAAATAGACCTTATGACTGCACTGAATAATAACAACATCCTATTTTTCTCAATTGATGAAAGCAGGAAAATTTGTAAAGTAAGTATATGCATGACATGCAAAAATGCAGAATGTCATTATACCACCCAATGGAGAATAAACATGTACATTTTGGTAGCAACACATAAATAATGCATTATAAGGGCTCTATTTTTGTAGACAGTGCATGTGCACTCGGCGTAAAAACTGCAACGTCTTCATTTTCGTACTGGGGAAAGTCTAGTTTACCGTGTTTGGAAATTTGCTCTGTGCCATCCTGGGCATTCCGGCGGACTGAAGGCATTTTCTTTTAAACGCCCACCTGACCGATTGGTGACTGAAAGTTGACTAGACCTTGGACCAGCTTGGAGCAGCTCTAAGTCATGGCGCAGGTGGTGTAATGCGATTTTGGTGTGTGTGATCGAGGCGCAAACAACGATTCTGAGTTCTGCTGCCCTGTGTGGTAGATATAATTGAATTTCATTCATACATATGACAACAGCGTGCATGAATCACTAATAAATCAACTAATTGAAGACATCATTATGATCATCATCAGATATATATTTTAAAACACCTACCTGGGCCGCGGAACAGCTATGCGGATGGAGGGGTGGAAGGCGGTCTCCAAATGCCCACTTCAGAGCAGTTTTGTGATCGCCCTGGGTAACTTTACATCATCTACCCATGAAGGTCTGATTGCAGTTCCTTATAAATACGCTTTGCGCATTTTGCTCTTTTGCATGGGCACCAGTGAGTCTATTTCTGCATCCTTCATAACAAGGACTGTGTGTGCCTCTTCTCCGCTTAATTTAACGGAAATGAGGGGAGACGTTCCATTGATATCAAAAGTTGGCTGTGCTCACTTCCACAGCACCGCAAATGTCCCTTTCTACCTGCGGCCATCTATGAAAATCCCAAAAGAAACAGTGCGCAGTCAGACTGCGCTTTGCAATTGACTTGCATTGGCCCCATCAAAAGGGTCCTAGGGTTTCATAAAACAAATCGTATCTATACACTGTACCTTATAGACAGGGGTCGACATAAAGATTTTGCCACGGTTCTCAAATGAGCATTGACTTCATGGATGAACTTAAAGGTTTATCGTTAATATATGAATATGTCGTTTTAATTCAACCGAGTGTACCTTTTTCTGGTTTTCTGTTTCTATTTCCTGATGACAACAAAATACTCGTGTGCACTGACAGACCACTTATGTGCACCCCTGCTTATAAACCTACATATACTTGCAGGAATCGCCCTTAACCGGCATAAGAAAAGATGGACATGCATGCAAATAAGAAAAGATGGGCATGCATGAGATTTACACAAAAAATGTTTGTCAGCCACGCATGCCATTTACTTCTTGATAGTACAATGGGGTCACCTTAAGTATCAGTGACTGGTATCGGCAATCTTTGTGAGTCGCTGATACATTGAAAGAAAGATTTACTCTTATCGGATGATATGGTGCCTCGTGACCATTTGATTTCCTGTCTCCTCCTTATGACAGGAAATAGTATTATCACTTGAATGTACTGTAGCTCCAGTAGTTGAGAAAGCCCTTGATCTGACAGAGAATCGGATTCAAGTGGACCTCATTATGAGGTCTAATTTCTCACAGCCAATCAGTGAAGGAAAAAAATACTAATATTAATACTTGTCCTGAAAATATATATCGTGTACCTATACAGGCTGTCAGATATACGTTGCTGCTGTTGGATTACCAACCAACCCCTACATACTTAATTATAATGAAACATGTTTGTTTTGGTATCTGGATGGTTAGGACAGACACAAGGATTGACAGACAGACAGATTTTGATTCAGAAAGATAGCAAGCCTAGCGCATTCAGTAGATCAATGGGCGCTATCTATATTATATGAGCCCTCTTCGCTCACATGTTGTGCAGTCAGAAACCCGGCAGGGCTTTACCACGTCACGTACGTTCATTCTCAAGCTCTCTCTTCTCAATTATTCATAGACGCGCCTTCACCGCTGTCTTCCCGACCTTACTTTGAAATGTCTCCCGAGTCCTCATTGGCAATAGATTACTTGTTGGCACTTTAATGGGATTTGTTGATGGTTGACAAGTACGCGAATGTTGACAAGAGTCTTCGTGGAAACTTTTCAGGCTATGTCACAGTGTCACCGTTTCTCAGTTGATTCGTCAGTTAAAAAACTCCACAAAACATTTGATTTTTTTCTTCGTTCTCTCTCTCAATCAATGTCATTCCTACTTTATTTTGGTTATTATTTGGCATGACCAAACTGGTTAACTTGGTAGGCCTACAGACAGCTGAAGTTGGAAAGATAAAAACTGTATCGTACTGTCAGAAAAAGTAGGGGAAAAACGTAGATCCACACTCACTGATATGCTTTCAGCCGTTAATTCAACCTGACCAGCAGCCAAGCGCACAGATACAAAATGAAAACACTCGCAAGGAGCTTGGAGCAGACATGATAATTAAAAGCTGCTGACATACTCGACTCACAAAGCCACACCCCATTAAAGAGACACCAACACGGATGCACGACAGAGTGTGTGCGTGTGTCCGCGTGTGTGACTTTCATCTTAAATACACTTCATAAAAACAATTTATTTCTTTATGTTCTGTTTTAAATTTTAGAGTACTATTTTCCCCCAAAAATCATTTATTAAAAACAAGTAACATGGTGGCGTTTTCAGGGGGGAATTGGTTTGGTCCATGAGTAAATGGAGTGACGCCCTTGATTAAAAAATAAGTCATAACTTGTAAGTCAAGGTACAACTGTATAGTCTGAAAATCCAGACTCAATGCCGTACCAGCGATTGAGTCTGGGGCAAACCTGAGCAAACAGTGGAATGAACCCGTCAGCCAAGAGCAGACGTGATGTCAGAAAAGCAATTTTTTTTCTCGATAAATAAATGCTTACACTACCATCAGCTGCTGGGGTTTTAATGACTCTATGTCTTTCTGGTCACTTGAAACTCAGTTTAATGCTGAATGAAACAAAATACCGAGTATATAATATAAAGTATTCCGCTGCTGAAGATTGACGCTTCTCACGAAGAATACGTCGCAGCAAACACATGAATTAGAATGCCTTACATTTGCATTTCAAAATAAAATTGTTCTCTGCTGCAGGTTACATCGAATAATTTCTCTCATATTCTGATTGCTAGTAAATATTTTTTTTTATAATTTGTGAACTTTACTCTAATAAATGTCTTAGTTCTAACAGCACTGGTACTCTTTGCACTTGAGTAAATATATACTCCTCTAGCCATGATTTGAGATAATACATGCCATCAATGTAAATAGGGAGCACCAAACTTTTTTTCCTTTACTTATTACATGGAATTACCTCTGCATAAATTAATTGACAAATTATAAGTGTGGTCCTTTTCCCTTTTGCTCCTTACTCTCCATTATTAGGTTGGCTGCATGAGTTGGCCAAGCGTTTAGGGACACCTTACTTCCTGTCGCCTCTGGCCGCACTCTTCCCGACTTCCTCTGGCGTAGTCTCGGCCAACAGCAGCCAGTGGAACGAATCCGGCTCTGAGTCGGCGGGTCAAGGTCCCTGGAACTCCAGCCAATACGGAGGGAACACATCGGTTGGCGAGAGCGCGTCGGCGGGAGGTTTTGGAGTTCTGGGCGGAGGCCCGTCCATGCGTAGCAGCTACGTGACATCGCTCTACTTCGCCCTGAGCAGCCTAACAAGCGTGGGCTTCGGGAACGTGTCGGCCAACACGGACTCGGAGAAGATCTTCTCGATCTGCACCATGCTCATTGGCGGTGAGTGGATGCTCCTTTTTTCTACTCCTGTTTGTGCATCATCTTTTGAGTCTGCTGAAATTCAGCCAGCGAATCCGTTTGAAGGAAAAATTTCCAGTCCTCTCAATTTAAATATGGGAGGGGCACTACTTTAAAAACAAAATTACTATTTTATTATTCATCACTTGGTAATGGTTAGTCAGAGGAAAAACACGGACACACTTCATGAAGACATCCATCCATCCGTTTTCTGATCCGCTTATAGCCAAGAGGGTTGGGGCGTGCTGGAGCCTATGCCAGCTGTGTTCAGGCCGCGTACTTCCTGAACTGATTGCTAGCCAATCGCTGGGCATCCAACAACCATTTGCACAGTCACACCTAGGGACAATTGAGAGTGTTCAATCAAGCTACCCTGCATGTCTTAAAATGTGGGAGAAAAACGGAGCACCCAGAGAAAACCCACATAGGCACGGGAAGAACATGTAAACTCCACACAGGAATGCCGGAGCCGGAATCGAATCCTGCACCTCTGCACTCTGAGGCGGACGTGCTAAAGAGTTGAGCACCGGGCCACCCAATGACTATCAATTTTTCACAATTCTAAAAGTTGCTTTTTACTTAGGTTTGTTTCGGCTTGCATTTTGAATGTGTTTCGCATTTGTATTTCATGACGACATGACTGTGAAGTGTCTCACAAACAATGAATTATTAGCCATGATATGTGAAGATAATTGTATGTTGTGAAAGCAATACATTGATTCTAAAGAGAGATTCTATTGGACAGACGTTCCACTATCAGTCAAACCAATGACAACTAAGGAAATCTGTTTATGGGTAATTGGTTGACTAGAGATATTATCAATGGAAGACTTGAAGGCTCTTCACACGTTTCCATTTCTAACTTTGTCTTATGGCCCTGACGTGCTGCAACCCAGTCACTGAAATAATATCACAAAAGCATGAGTAACTTGTGATATGATTTTTTTTTAAACATCTAAAAGTAACATATTACTGTGGCGCGTTACTTTTGTAACATATTATCCCCAACCCTGTCTGCAATAACTTTAGCTCTTGGCATTCTGTTCCCATTATATTTGTTTCCTGCAGAAATGTTGCCATCTTTCAATTAGCTCAAGCGCAAAAAAAAAAAAAAAGGCTTCCGTTGGTTTTTAACAAGCTCACTCCTGCTGATAGGGTGAGAATTGGAAAGTGAAAAGAGACAGAGTGAAAGGAAGCTAGCCGAGGCGACCTCTTAATTAATCCTACTGAAAATTGGCCTTATGATGAGCTCCATGTGGTCTCTCTGCATTCCCTTCAAAACAATGTCCATGTAGTCCGACTTAACTCATCACTAAAATCAAATCACATGTTTCTTGTATGGCGGTGTGTCCAGTATTATACTGTAGGGGAATGAAAATACAGAATAATTGTTTTTATGTCTTGCTGCTGTTGTGAAAGCGCTATACATAATATTGTACTAATGTCTGATGGCAATAACGCTGCTGAGACTTTATTGCCACAGTGAGGAATATTCCTGGAATGCAAAAACTTCCTCGGGCAATTTTTTGGTTTAACCCTGCAGTGGTGAGTGGTGAAGGCCAAGACCTTCTCTGCAGGCCTAAACACTGTTGGAAGCACTGACCTAAATTTACAGTCTAATTCAAATATTTTCTCCTTGAAATAAATATATTGCAAACAGGCTCTTCTCCTTATTTGTTGACGTTTCACTTGGCTGTGTTTTTAAAAACACATGGCAGACTGTGTTGTAAATGCTATTGGAGGGGTTTGGTTATGGTAGCATGACTCAACTGATTTTTCTCTCAGCGCTGATGCACGCTGTGGTGTTTGGCAACGTGACCGCCATCATCCAGAGGATGTACTCACGCCGCTCGCTCTACCACACGCGCACTAAAGACCTGAAGGATTTCATCAGGGTGCACCGGTTGCCCAAAGCTCTTGAGCAACGCATGCTGGAGTGTTTCCAGACAACCTGGTCGGTCAACAATGGCATCGACGTCAGTGAGGTGAGTTGATTCGGTCAGAAGCCGCCTAAGTGACACAGCAGAAACGTCACAAATACAACACAACACAAATATGCCTGCACCCCCATTTGCCGCTTCAGCAGCCTCACACTAATTTCTGCATCTGACAAAAGCCATTGCAGCTCTGCTTACCTTTTGAGTTTGATGTACGGCTTCACCTCCTCCACGTCTTCACCACAAATGAACGCTGCTTGGCTAATTTAAGTACGGAAGACGACTTTGGATCTCTTTTCAGCTCCTGAAGGATTTCCCAGATGAACTGCGGGCTGACATCGCCATGCACCTAAACAAGGAGCTGCTTCAGCTCCCGCTGTTTGAATCAGCCAGCAGGGGGTGCCTGCGCTCGCTGTCGCTCATCATCAAGACGTCGTTCTGTGCGCCCGGGGAGTTCCTCATCCGGCAAGGCGATGCCTTGCAGGCCATCTACTTTGTGTGTTCAGGTTCCATGGAAGTCCTGAAAGACAACACTGTGCTCGCCATACTGGGTGAGTACACTTGTTCCAACACTGGCATTGTCAGGAAGAGCGTTAATAAGTGTCAAGGCCATCGCAGGTCATCTACCTCATTACCGGTAGTTCATTATGAATCTTATTAGGTACACATTTGTCAAAAAATGTGTATTTGCACAAGTGAGCTTAGTGTGTCTATGTGTGTGCATGTATAAAAATCAATAGTACTATCCACAAAAATCAACAATTTGCTGTAAGCAATGACACAGATGGAATATTGGCAAATAAAAACATACGGAGGTGACCCCGGCTGCTTTCAGCATCTTGTATCAAGATGATTCCAAATCAATACAGTTCTTACTCTGACATCATATGGTAGTTCCTGAAAAGGGGCATTCCGGCAGACCCCTGCTTGTCCTTGTAGAGTGTGGAAAAAAAAGTGTGCCCTTATTAAGTATATTAAAAAGGACATTAAATCATGGAGGAAGCAGTACATGCACTGTATGTGGTACATATTATAGGCACATCACCAAAAAGACACATACAATATTCAGAAATCGGCAGAAAAAAATATTTACCATATGTAGTTGTTTTTCATTTCACACGTGATGGGTGGGCAGACTTAACTATGCAAACACTTCAAATTTTCAATGTGGTTGTGTTGTGAATGTGTTCCCTTGACCAGTGTGTTGCCTCAATGTTCAAATTAATTGAAATGTTGTCAATCAGCCGCCATAAAAAAAGCACCACTTTTTTTCTATTTAAGTAAAGAAAAACAGCAGCAGAAGAAATACTTGGTTTTTACAAGGTTTAATTAAAACACACCAAAATTCCATTCAAAAGTGACTGTAGCTCTTCTCTCTTTTTTCGCTTTACTCAAGGCGTCAAGCTCCTCTTAATTCAAATTTTAGTTCGCAATAATGCAAAAAAAAAAAAAAAAAAAAAAAAAAAAGACCACGCTCATAACATTAAAAAACTGAGAAGTTGGATCATTCTTCGGTCAAGGTACATCGTATGTTTTCATTCAATGTGCACAACATCAGTTCGAACTGCCGTCATGCATGAGAACAGTGTAGCTGTAATTATTTTTTTTTTTTAATTTATTTATTTGGACTGTTTTTACGTTACTAGTATTGTGGTTCTGACACTTTGAATTCTATTATTTTTGTATGGAAGGTTTCCGTACATACATTAAAGAAAGAGAGAGAGAGAGAGAGAGATCACGGTACAAGATTAACTTGAGCAAAATTTCAATTTAAAACATTTTTCTTTGAGGGGGGCCATGTTTTTGGGGGGGGTCGTCAAATTTCGGGTGTACTTATCTGCAAACGAATGACCTCAGGCGGTTTCACAGCCTGTTTAGCCCTGATCCAGCAAACCGCATTTGTGTTTTGTGTGGAAGGTGAACGCAACACGCCCCCTCCCCCTCTTTTTTATTTATCTGCGCACGGGTGTCTAGGTGTTTGTGAGGACACATCCACACGCCTCCAAAATCACTACCCGAAAAGGTCAAGATGGTTTGAATTAATGCTGTGTGCATGCATGTGTTGTTTTCTATCTGCGCATGAGCACACACATACGTGTAAGGTGAAATGGATATATGTCCAAATGCCAAAGGCCACGGATTTGCTCTTGATCGGGACACACAAGCACGCATCAATCGATGCAGCATGGGGCTGTGCTGTTATTAAAAATGAATGAAATATTACATTATTTATGTCTCTGGATTATTAATGCTGGAAAGTATACACACAACACACAAATCTGCTTTCCCTTACTGAAAAAAATAAAAAATAAAAACTAATGTGATTTTGTTTGTTGTGATCATTTTAAGTCATTTACATTGTACCATAAACACTGATCAGTTTACTCGATTCAGTTTACATCTAATTTACCGATAACTTAATGTATGTCGTAATAAGAAAGGTACATATTTACTTTTACTAAGGACGATTTTTTTCTAACAATTTATTTGTTTGTTAGTCTGCAGGAACACAACCATTCCATTGTTCTCCCTTGTATGGAAACACCTTATTCCATATCACTGACGGAGCTCTCTGTGTTCAAATCTTGCAGGATTAACTCGGGCTACAATGCCTGTGAAACAATACAAATGGAGTACAGTATAAGGTGCTTCGGAGTGTAAGGCGCACCGTCAATGAATGTCCTCTTTTGAAACTGTTTTCATATATAGGGCGCACCACACTGTAAGGCGCATATAATAGAAGCTGTAATAGTGGCTGCAGTTGCATTAGGCATCCACTAGATAGAGCGACGCTGAGGGGAATACAATACAGCTTTATTCATATAGAGCTTTCATAACTGCCGCAGCTGTAACAAAGCGCTTTACAGAACATTTAAAATCCTACGTCCAAGAAATCCGATCCATATCGAAGGCACATTGGATTATAAAGTGCACTGTCAGACTTTGAGAACATTTTATGCTTTTAGGTGCACCTTATAGTGCCGAAAATACGGAATATACACCGATAATCCTTCAATGTATGATTTCCATGAAAAATGAGGGAAATGGGGAAAAACAAACAAAAATGTTCCAAAAATATTGTACTAAATTTGAAAACCAATCGTGGAATATGTAAATCTGTGGGTGTTGAACCACCAGTATGCAGGGTTTGACTGTATACGCAATCCTCACATCCAAACCCAACAACTGCAACAGCATGGAATACAGTTTGGATTTCAAAGTACTCCAATAAATAACTCCTGCTAATCAGTAACCCTCCTCAACCAGCCCTGGTCCTTTTACCACAACAGTCTTGTCCTCAAAAACCTCTCCTGGCTCCTTATTCCTCAATGCTTTCATTCAAAACACTTCATCACTATTGCCAGTCTTCCAGTACCTCATTGAGCTGCTACACCCTCCACACGGCCTCTGTTTCATACCTTATTTCCCAACCAGTGGGGGTTCAGCGCCTCCTCCAGTGTCGCCCCTCCCTCTGTGTCAAACTCCACAATGCATTTGCAGTTACCGATCCATCCATCCATCTTCCGATCCGCTTATCCTCACAAGGGTTGCGGGGGGTGCTGCAGCCTGTCCCAGCTGTTTTCGGGCAGCAGGTGGGGGACACCCTGAACCGGTTACCAGCCAATCGCAGGGCACATTGAGAAGAACAACCGTCCGCGCTCACACTCACACCTAGGGACAATTTAGAGTGTTCAATCAGCCTGCCATGCATGTTTTGGAATGTGGGAGGAAACTGGAGTACCCGGAGAAAACCCACGCAGGCCCGGGGAGAACATGCAAATGCCACACAGGGAGGCTGCAGCTGGAATTGAACCCGGTACCTGTTCTCTGTGAGGTCGACGCGCTAACCACTAGACCCCCGGGCCGCCCTACACACACCTAGACCCTATTCTCCGCAAATACTGATAATTCGTGTTATCTAAGTACAATACTGCACTTTAGAAAGTGCTTTTTATGTGCTGTGTCACCAAAATGCTATTTGGTCATTTAACAGAATACATTTGCAACATTACAAAATGATTAATAAGTTCAATTTAGGATTGTTTTGTCTTTGGGCTCTGAGTGTCATTGATTGATTGTGATGAGTTTGTCCCATGAGGAAAATGCCTGCTAAAAAACAGGACATCTGTTTTTCTTTTTTTCCCCCTTCCCAAATGTCGACCTTTTCTTTAACTTCAGTGACATGCGCACGTGCGCATGCCTTAATGTGAGAAGGAGTGATGATCGATGATGTAACCTTTACATCTGTCCACAGTAACTTGCAGCACGGGAGTAAATCAGTGCAGTGCACTGACAATTGCAATTCCAAAACAGCGGAATAAATGCCTTTGGCTAATGGTTTGAACCAAAATGGTGTAAAATAGAGGGTATGGTTGAAATTGTATAGTCTTGGCTTTTTATTTAGCCTGTGTTGTTTGTATGACACCACTGAGTGTATGTTTATCTAATATGTGGTCATTTAAGTTTGGTTGCTTTCATGCATTTTGTGTATTATATTCAAACGTGATGTCCTTTAAGCTTCTGATTGGCTAACAAAGCCTTGCAAGGGTGAAATCTCCCCGTTGATTTGGCACAAACAACAGCTCAATCAAAGTTCATTGTTTACCACCTCGCTACATCAAATTTTGAAGTGGTTGTCTTTCATGCTTATTGTACTCCCCTCGCGTGAGAAAGAGGAGAGCCACTGTTGCCGATGCACTTCTCGGCCGTCTATTGAATGCCAGGAGAACCTTAAAAGACAGTGACCGCACTCACGCAGACGTCACACAACAGATGTTTGTGATACATTGTCATACATTTCAAATGTGTTTTAAAACATAAAATTTCTGTTTTTTGTTCATGTGATCTCCATATTGAGGCTTCTTAAGCTTAGTGGGTCTAAAACGTATCCTCTGTAATAAACGGGTTCACCGTAAATGCTTTTACCGTATTGGCCCGAATATAAGACGGTGTTTTTTGCATTGAAATAAGACTGAAAAAGTGGCAGTCTTCTTATATTCGGGGTCTAGACATTATACCCATTCACGTCGGTAGATGGTGCCAGATATCATTGAAGCGAATGCTGAACTTGACTCCGCAGGCCAAAGAGAACCCCTGTCACGAAGAATAAAAATAAAAATAGCGGTAGCACAAAGAAGAAAAATAAAAAAATAGCGGTAAGAAAGAAAAAAGAAGAATATAATGGAAGAGATAACAGAAAACGGGGAAACGTAGCGACAATCTGGAGAAAAGTGGGTCGAAGATCGGCCAGGTTAACCGGCAGCTGAGGAGAAGTTATGATGTAATTTACATTTCAAAAACCAGAAGCCATTCATTTATGAATGTGATTGCACTTTAGTTTACATATTTAAATGTTCAGATATTAAGATTTGAATGAGGCAAAATAACATGCTTTTTCTCTCAAATATATTGTTATTATCATTTGTTTCAGAAATACTGTAATTATTTTCTGTATAAAAATTAATTTGGTGTTCAAAAAGTCATTTTTGAAACTTGAGTCTTGAAAAAGAGGGGGTCGTCTTATAATCAGGGCCGTCTTATATTTGGGCCAATACGGTAATTCGCGGCTATTTTGATTGTAGTTGATTGATGGCGATGGAAAACCTGTGATGAAGGGTAATGGATGAATCCTAAACCCCGAAGCAGACTACCGAAATTAAGCAATAACAGCGCTTTATTGAACGGAAGTGAACGTGAGAAGGAAAAATGACAAATGTTGACGCTAATAATCAATGCACCCAAGTGACTGGGGAAATGAAACACAAATCAGCAACGCATACTGAACAGAATCATCGTAAAAACACAATTTGGAGATGCAATTTCAGTTCAAAAGTAAAAAAAAAAGGCTGCAAATCACTGACACTACCAAGAAAAAATATATTATGCACTCCACACGCACACATATACACACACGCGCACACACACATCGAGTCTGCACAGTGTCATTTTGGGAGCTCCGTCTGCGGCTCACTTGAACGTTTTGCAGCAATTATTAACGGCAGATTTCCCCAAAGCTGCTGGCGCTTGTCAACTCGGCCGCCGCTCATCATCCGTGTGACACAGAGCGTTCGAGGGGAGGAAAGGGGGAGGCAGAAACACAGATGGAGGGAAGGCCGTGCACAAGATGTTTGTGCGATCGCTTGATTTCTTCTCTTCTTCTCACCCTTCCTCCTCATCCCTCCCTCCTCTGCCATCTTCCTCTCCTCCACCTCACCTCCTTTTGCTCTCCCTTCAGCCTCTTACTCCTTCTCCACATGCCGGGGCCCTTTTTAATTTGTACCTGCATCGTCTCCTCTGCAGCACCACTGATGATTTTATGCACATATAGAGTGATACACAAGAATGAATACTCTGTTTTTTTATTTTTTTTATTGTGGACATGATACAGATCGGTAAGGTTGGGCATCGAGAAACAAATGGAACCAGGATTAACATTCTGTTACGCCCAGAATCGTGCAGATTTTAAAACGTGGTAAAATTTGACGCCTACTTGACCGCGCGGAAGAAGAAACTGAACACATACGAAGAAGCCCCTTTGCGGGGTCGGCGGTTTCAAATTGCTTTGATGAATGGAAACCTTTGTATGTGATGAATATGCAACAAAACAATAAATCAGGAAGGGGGCAAATACTATTTCACAGTACTGTACTAGTTAAAAATAGCCACTTCAGTAACTCATAGTGAAGTTAATGTGACTGAATCCACAAAATAATAGCTCCCTCTTTTTTTTTTTTTTTTTTTTTTTTTAATTGAGAATCGTTCGTGACCGTAATCATATCAAATAATCATGCCCAAACCTACTGATTAGGTACGCAGGTTGTAGCAAACTCTAACACCAAATCTATTATAATAATAGCATACATATACAAAAGACAAACATTTCTTTCCGCTATACTCTTCACGGTTGAATTGGGAGCCCACCAGTCGATCACGATCGACTGATTGGCACTCCTGGTGTACGTCTATTCTCTTTAAGATCTATCGTCAAGTATCATCATCATCTTTCGCCATCTTCCACTCAGCTTTCCATCTGCCATCCTCTGCATCAGCGCATCCTTTCATCTCTGGCATCCTCTTGAGCATTTACCATTTATCCATTCTCTTTAGGGATCTTCCATTCAACTGTTTTGAGCCATCTTCATCCATCCGTCCTCTTTATCTGCCACTGGTTATTTCAGCCATTTATACTCTTTCGCGTCCATCATCCTCTTTAGAATGTTCAATCCACCCTCTTCAGCCATCTTGCATCCATCCCTTCATCTGTCATCTAGCATTTACCAATCATTCATATTTTTTGGCCATCTTCTATTCATTCACACACACTCCCATCCGTCATGTATTCATCTGCCATCCTCCTCCAGTCATTTGTCATCACACGTCCTACCATTTATGCTCATAAACCATCCAGCCACTCATGCACCTGTAATGGATGGATGTATGGATGGATGGATGTTTTTCCCATTTAGTATAAATGACAGATGGCTAAATAGAATGGAGGAAGCTCAGATGGATGATGGATCGCTGTCCACGCGTCCATTTGGCTCATCATTGCATCTGTAAATCGATCTCAAATTAAATCAAGAAGAATATTTTATATTCTAACGATGTTCAAATTAAATGGGGATGTGTTGATGCAGGTAAGGGAGATCTGATTGGCTCCGACTCTCTGACGAAAGAGCAAGTGATCAAGACCAACGCCAACGTCAAGGCGCTGACCTACTGCGACCTTCAATACATCAGCCTGAAGGGCCTCCGAGAGGTGTTGCGACTGTACCCGGAGTACGCCCAGAAGTTCATCAGCGAAATCCAACATGACCTCACCTACAACCTGCGTGAGGGCCATGCCTCAGATGTGAGTTGGCATCTTTTAATGCCACGTGTTCACATAAACATATCAATTCATCTTCAAGAACACACCAGACAAGAAGGTGTTATTGTATGTCACACACTGAGATAATTACATGCTTTTTTTCTGATGGGATGAAGTTTCTCTTGTTATATCAGCTTCCTCCTACATGCCAAAAATCACGTTAGATCCACTCAAGACTCACAAACGTCCATAGTTGTGAATGTGAGTGTGACTATGAATGGTTGTTTTCTATGTGCGCCGAAACTAGCTGGGATAGGCTCCAGCTCACATGTGACCCCAATTGAGGCGAAGCGGTATAGAAAATGGATGGCTGGATGCTTGCATCACGCTAAAGTGCATTCCATAGCACTGAGGTCAGAGTAGAAAATTCATTGAGTCAAATATAGATTAAGGCAAAAGATGAATAAAAATGTGCTTTCACAGTGGTGTGTGTGTGTGTGTGTGTGTGTGTGTGTGTGTGTGTGTGTGTGTGTGTGCATGGTGTGCACAAACTTCACATACCTTCATGTGCAACCACCGGCATGCAAAATGAAAGCCTCAGGGGATGCTCACCTTTAGAGTAGCTCTCACGCATGAAGGCTATGCATGAACTGGCTAATATGAATTTAGTACACATGCACTGGGTTGTTTACACCACAGTGTGCGGTCACGCGCACACACAAACAGTGCGGTGGCGGGTACTGCAGCAGCAGTGGATGCCGAGAATAGCTCAGTGCTGCTTTTTGAAGCCGTTCTGTTGCTAAAAATAGAGCAGGGAGATGAAGGGGGGAAGCACGGGCTCTCCCTGGCTGGCTGTGTCCCCTGCAGCTGCTGCTAAGATTGGATCACGGCGGATAAAAATAACCCAGCCACTCGAGGAGGAGGATGAGTGGCTGGCTTTGCCTCTTTCTCTCCCACTGCAGTGTGTTTTTTTTTTGTTTTGTTTTGTTTTTTTTAAACTGCAGAGTCCAAGTGTTCCCAGTGTCCTGACATGTGAAAAGTTTTATGCACGAGGAGGACAGTTGAGGAGCATGTGTTTGGATAACGGGCATTTATGTTGCTTATTTATGCTGGTCGAGCAAATATACAAGAAATAGCATATACTACCCACCACATTATTTGGTACACCTTCAGATGGATGGATGGACAGAGATGGATGGATGAATGGATGAAAGGGTGAATGGGTAGATGGGCTCATGGATGGGTTGATGGGTGGATGAATGGATGGGCTCATGGATGGATGGATGAGGGTTTGGCTGAGTTACTAGATGTTTGGATTGATTGATTGATGGTTGATGGCTGAATGAGTTTCAGTCGATGCAGCCATCAATGCTGATGGATAGATGAGTGGAGGAATGGATGGAAATGTGGGTCGGTATGAATGGATGAATGGATGAATGGATGAGTGTTTAGGTCAGGGGTGTTGAACCCTGGACCTTGAGGGCCCCTATCCAGCCTGTTTTAGATGTTTCCCTCCTCCTACACAACTGATTCAAATGGTCAGCTCATCAGCAAGCTCTGAGAAGCCTGATAATGATCCCGATCTTTTGGATCATTTGTGTTGAAGGCCGGAGACATACAGGATGGATATGAGCTGTCGAGGACCTGGGTTGGACACCCTTGCTTTAAGTTGGTGGATGGATGAATGATGGGTGAATACATTGATTATGGATCAATGAATGTTTAGGTTTAGGGATGATTGCAGTAGGGCTGGATGATTAATTGAAATGTAATTGTGATTTTGACTTCCCTCGATCTTTAAAATGTAATAATTGAAGAAAAATGAATAATGTGCAGAGGTGTGTGTTGCAGTCGCTGTAAAAGGAACCTGAATGCACCATGTTGCTTGGGTAATAGCTAAGAGTGCAGCGTCTGTAATTATATTTGAATACAATAAATGTTTTGTGAACATGTCTAGTGCGAATGCTGACCTCCCAAAAAAATTAGTATCAACTTCGGGAGTGACATTGCTTCAAAATAATGAATATTGACACACAATAGCTGTAGAAACATCAACAGATGACAATGCTCATAGCCAGAAATTCTTCCCAATCTGTGAAAAACAAGTTATCCTAAGAGAATTCAATCGCACATTTCTTCTGATGTTATTGTAAATGTGTACCCCATGCGTGCATGGCACCACACTGCCCCCAAGAGGCCAATGCGTGCACTGCAGATGCTATTTCCATCCATCCATTATCTGTATTTGTTTTGATATACTGTATTGTTTTTTAAATTGTTTTTATTTTATTATACAGTATTCTTATTTCTAAATTCTTATTCATTTATTTCCTTGTCCTTACAAATTATATTAAAGTTGGGTTTTCAAGGATTCAAGCAATTTTACTTCCCTCAAAATTCAAAGACACAATGATCCAAGGACTCTTTTGTTATACCAACACAAATTTCTACGTGATATAGCAAGAAATATGATACCCGAGGTCCAAGGTTTGGTCAGTAAGTCCCAAAACGTAATAAATAAGATAAAAAAAATCTTTCTTTACTTCTTCAATGTTTGGATGTGTGCAAAGAATGCAAGTCATCAAAGGTGTGGCTGTAGCAGAATGAAAATGAAAAAGGTTTGAATTTCACATGATATTTACAAAGTCATTTTGAACTTGGCAAAAAGAATAGGGAGTTCGAGAATAAAGTGTTCAGGATATTTAGATGAGTGAAGGAATGGACAGATGGGTAGATCAGACTGAATGGGCTGATGGATCGATTGATATTTCGACCTGAATTAATTCATGATGAAAGAGTGGATAAATGCAAAGCATGAATCACTGGTCATATACAGTAGGTAGATAATCAATTAATGAATTAACGGATTAGTTAATAGTTATATAGACTGATAGACAGACAGCTTGACACTACATTTTTTTCTATTGGATGTCATGATATTATGCAGGTGTACCTTATACTGTGGCCATTGGAATCGGAGGCCAAACGGAGACTTGCGGCGAGATCTTCTTCAGAACATGTCATACGGACAACATGACTGATTAACACTGTCCTCACCTCACGTGGCGAACATCTGCCGTTTACGCAAGCTCTCACGCGGGAAGTCAAGGGCGAGCACTTGTATTGATAAGTGCTCTATGTGCAGAGGCACGTGCACTTTCATTTAGGAACACACACACACACACACACACACACACACACACACACACACACACACACACACACACACACAGAAAAGGGTGGTACGGCAAACTTGGGCACGAGCTCACTTGAGGATCACGCCCCCACCTCGCACATGCAGGGTCTCTTTGGATGCCTCTGGAGCCGCCAGCTAAGAATAGAACAGAGGAGCTAAAAATAAATCACACTGCCACAGGAGGAAGATGATGGGGAGTGGGAGGGGGGGTGAACAAGAGGATGCTGAGCAGGCAAAGATGTGGGATGAAGATGGAGAAAGATGCAAATGGGATATCGGTCTGCGTGATGAGACATGAAACGCAGTCATTATCATGGCTTCTGTTTTTAGACTGCAAGAGGTGTCATTGTTCAAAACACATTCATTGTGAATGAATAATTAATGTCGTCCTGTACTGTAGTACCGCTTTGAAAACAGTTTTTCCGAGCAATGCAAAACACAAAGGCCACACTGAACAGAAAAGTGGAGATATTTGTCTCATTCATAATAGTAGCACTGCATTTGCCAATTTTTCATTTGACTGTCGTTATTTCTGTATTTCATGTTATTGTTTTTGAACTTACTGTATATGTTTTGTCAATTTAGCTTTTGCATGCATATCTGTTTGTGTTTATTTATTTATACATGTGTTTGGTTTTTAAAGAAATTATAATTCATTCAATTTTTAGGATACTCACAATTTTTTATTTCAGTGTTTCTTTTCTTTTTGTGTGGTATCAATAAATATAATGCAAAATGTTTTGCAAGGTTCTTATGTGCCTAAAAATATTTAAACTACATACATTTATATTTTGACTGAAATTTTCCGGGAATTTCTCCATTGCGAGACTAATAAAGGTTTTCTTATCTTATCTTATCTTATCTCATTAAATTTGCACACGTAACTGTTACACGTATGGTGAGGGAGGGCTGGAAATAGTATTCTGCTGTATATAAAATAAAAGTGCGGCGGCGATTAACCTGAAATGACACAACACACACTCATTCCCGGGCCACATCTGTCATGTTAAATGAGGCATCTAACAAAACAACCCCCCCCCCCCAAAAAAAGACAAAGAGGGAAGTCAATAAAGATACTCTAATTAGCCTAGCATGAGCCTCAGGCTGAAACTTCATTTACTAGTTGGCATTCATTCCGCCACCCATCAGCTTTTAAGTATTGACTGAAAGAATGAGATCAGGGATGAGAACAAGTGGAGTGAGGGTCTACGAAGCACCTCGAACACATCACTGACTCAATATTGCTGTCTGGGGGTGGGGGTCAGGGGTTGGTCTCGGTGCTTTCAAAAGATTTTAAATCTACTGTACTTTAAATTCGTTTCTCCCATTTCTGATACACGTACGTTGTGCCTGCTGGAGACATAAGCAAATTAAGCTCCTGCTTGAGGCCCTCTGGTCACTAGGGAGCCCCCAATAAGTGTGAAGATTTTTTATTATTTTTTTTTTTTTACATATTAAAATATTTAAAAATTGATAGTGGTAGCACAAACAAAAAAATCTGCCTGCCCAGTGTGTCTCAACATGTGGTACAAGTAACCACTGGTAGTCTGTGGGCTCCCTCTAGTGGCCTGCGTAAGTATTACTTAATTAAATTTTCAAACTGTACATATGTTATAGTGGCTTGAACCTTTTTTTTTTTTCAAATCTATGACAGAACATTTGTTAAGTGCAGTTGTTTTAAATTTTTATGAACAATAATTAAGAAGCGTAACAAATGTAATGTGTGTGTTTGTGTGGGTGTCAGGCCGACTGGGAGAGTAACGGCGGCCTGGTGAAGAAGCTGCCCTCCATCCGAGAGGACGAGGAAGGCGGTGACGAGGAGCAGAACTTGGTGTCCCGCGCGCCCCGCTCGCCTCTGCGCCTCAGCCGGGGCATCAACTCACCACTACGTTCCCCTTTGCTGCCCCCGAGACCGTTCCGCGCCCCCGCCGAGCAGACCCGCCCCGTCACCCTGCAGATACCAATGGTCAGCTTTGCAAGTGCGCCTGGAGAGCTCAGCCCCAGGTAAGCACGACTATATGGAAAGCTGTTTGAACATTTTGTTGATATTCTTGATATCCAGGACCAGATGAAAGATTGTACGAGTACTTTGATATCATGTCAAAGATATCAAGTGATCAAACCAAACAGCTTTCTATAGTTTACAAGTAACGTTTAACCCTTTCATGCACCAATAATAATAACCTGATAACATGATAAGCTGTCCACTGTAGTAACTACTGTCCCTGAAAGGGTTAATTGCTTCCGAATTGGGCAAAAGTGGCACTAGTAGCAAACAAAACCATTACAAGTATACATGTTTTACAATTGCATCCTCGTTGATTTACTAGTGCACTGAATCGTCTTGTGTGGACAAAGTTTATTCCAGTACACAGAACTTAAAATGGGATAGCAACAAGGCCGGTTCTATCCCCCCATCCATTGTCTAATCTGCTTTATCATCACGAGGGTCGCAGGGGGGTGCTGCAGCCTATCCCAGCTGTCTTGCGGCAGTAGGCGGGGGACACCCTGAACCAGTTGCCAGCCAATCGCAGGGCACACAGAGACGAACACCCATCCACGCACACACTCACACCTACGGACAATTTGGAGTTTTCAGTCAGCCTGCCATGCATGTTTTTGGAATGCTGGAGGAAACTGGGGTACCCAGAGAAATAAAACAAAGACTATCAGCCGAGATAAAACAAACAACTTAACAGTTACTTAGGTCTACTAGATGAGACCATTAGACATGTCCAAAACAAAGGCCCTGCAGGCTTGCTGGTATCCTGTAATCAAATGAAAAAAAGAGTAATAAGCAAGAGATAATGACAGGAAGAAGTGGAGCGGAGGAGAGAAGCATGAGATAATAAAAATATGTGAAATATGTTTTGTAGGATTTCGTTTGGGGCGGCATAACATTTACCTAGCCCTGGATAGCAAGGTTGCTTCGTGTCTTAAACAACTTTCTTTCCAACCATGCTTACACAAGTTGCTCACATTGCAATGGAGGAGTCAGGTTGGTTGCTATAGCAACTTGAACTACAGTCTTGCCTCCAGATCGACGATGCGATGTTCACTGTCTATCAATCAAAGTTTGATCACATGATGAAAATTTAACACAAAAAGAAATATTTAACATTCATCTGGCACACTAATTTATATATAATATCAATCATTTTCGGGATCATGATGTAGATTGTGTATTTCTTTTTTTAATAGATTTAAAACTACTAAGAAATGGGTTACTCAGTCATCACTATACAAATCAACTGTCATTTCATTACCTACATTTTCTAAGAATAAGAAAAAGCAACTTTTACCTGTCAGGGTTCACCACAGCAGGTCATCACAAGCACATTTACCAACTGAGCCATTCAGCCACCACCAATGATTTCGAAGTATCTTGCATGACATTTATTTACACCCTAACCCTAACACAACAAAATTGTCAAAAATGGCTTCTGCTCTTCAGCCTGCCTAAATCCAATCGTCATCACAATCTGCTGGGTCAAAATAATTAGCCCAACCCCACAGCTACCTAACAAATGTGTTCGGAAAAGTACTCAGCATTGAAAGAGAGAGAAAGAGAGACCTTGGCTGCAAGATTAAAAGTCTGGCCAGTAATCAGGCATCTTGCATCAGGAGCTCATTCACTGCAAGCTGGAGTAGCAGAGATGTAATCAGGCCTTACAAAATCAACTTTACAGACTTCAAATTGGCGTCACACAACTGGTTGATGCGACGTCAACGTGTCCCGACCAAATCATAAAACTCCACCATGTACTTTCTGCACAGGTTTGTGGACGGTATCGAGACAGAAAACAGTTCCATATCATCCCAGAAGTTTGAGTTCAGTCCTAGCATGTCGCCTGCAGCGCCACCCTCGCCTTTTTCAGGTAATGTCCACCTAAGCAATCATCCAAGTGACGTCTTGTCTGTAGAGGTTTCACTTTCTTCACAGTGCATGTCATGGTATGTGTGTGTATGCGCGTTTGCGAGCAGGCAGTCGAGAGTCATCCGAGATCAAGCAGTGTGTGCACAAGTTGACAGAGGAGGTGAGTTGTTCCCGCTTTGATACACGTTTATGTTGGCGGTCTGATACCAGACTCTCTATTGGCATACGATATATACTGTACTGTATTACAGCAGTTCACAATTAGGTCATGAGAGGGGTAAATGTATGCAATGATATAAGGGACTATGTATTATTTGGAGTCATTCAAAACAACTTGTTAAGCTGCTTCAGTATCCATTTCATCACCATCCAACTTGGCAAAAACATTTTAGATCACTGGTGTCAAACTCGAGGCCCGGGGACCAGATCCGGCCTGCCAGATCATTTTATGTGGCCCATGAAAGCAAATCCTATGTGTCAACTTGCTAAAATCTGTACCGAAATGTCAAATTGTCATGTTTAATAAATAACCTTGAGATTTTCCAATAATTTTGTGACCCACTTTACACTCAACGTGAACAATAATTGAACAAACTATTATAATTGACTCGACTGATTTCAAAACTAGTAATCTATTAATTTGTTGTGTACAAGTAATAATTTTATGGTTTCACTGTCATAACGGCCCTCCGAGGGAAGACACAACTCCAAATTGGCCCGCGACTAAAATGAGTTTGACACCCCTGTTTTAGATGAATGATGTAACTCTAAGAAGTTTTATGGTTTAATCACCAATGACTATATTCATGAAAGTGTCCTCTCTGTGTAATGGAAAAGCAAAAATCAATCAGAAACTGGACCAGCGTCCACATTGATAACATAAAAATGACAGTCGAGGTGTTTTTCACTGAGAAACTGTATTAAAGCCTCCAGGACCACAATGCACCTGGGAAGTTGCCTCTGCATACTTGGGCGCTATTCTCGTGCCCCTTGCTTGTTTAGCACAAAACACAGTCCAAGGCCAATTTCCAAAGTGAGGTCCACAAAGGCACGCTTAGATGTGTTTGGTGTGGAACAATGTCTATTATCACTGACATCAGACCTCACAAATTTTCGTCCCGGTAAGATTAGCATCCATTAGCTTGATATGCTAAGAATTTCTCTCATCATTCACGACACAGATGAACAGCCTCTCCAGACAAGTGTCCAAGCTCAGCCAGGAGCTCCAGGAAGTCACACGTCTGCTCAAGCCCCTGCTCCAGAGAGCGCCGCAGCCCCTTTTGGTGGCCACCGAGCCAAATTTGACCCCGCCTCCCAGCAGCAGCACCAGCCGTCTGTCGGCGAGCGCCAGCTTGATGGCGCCCGCTCCCATCACGCCGTGCTCCCTCCTGAGACCGGACACTCATTCCCTGTTGGACAGCGGGGACGTGGAGGGCGTGGACTTGCCACAATGCCTTCTCCCCACTCCTCATTCACCACAAAGGCCTAATTCCTCGCCTCCCCCGTGCAACAATCTCCCCTCACCAAAGGAAGGACTTTTTGAGGGGTCCCCAATCTTGGCCTCCTCCAGTATGTTTCTGTGCTCGTCACAGGATCGCCCCCCACTGGCATCCGGCACTCCGTCACCGTCGCTGTCTTTCTCCATGTCCCTCTCCTCCACTTCTTCCCTCTCCTCCTGCCACGCGTCCCAACAGGCCAGCTGCGTTGGTCACCGAAGCCTGCTTCCCCCACCTCCTTCCCAGGACACGCCTCCTCCGCCATGGCCCCCACACTTCTCCGCACCGCCGTCTCTCGCATCCTCACCCGGAGACCGTTGTTTGAGACCGTCCCCGTCCGTCCCGCCGGGGTCCCCTGTTGTCGCCGCTCTCCCTTCCCTCCTCTCCCTGCCTTTGTCTCTGGACTCACCGAGTAGAAAATACGGAGAACTCCAGCTCGCTCGGGCTTCTAACTCGCACCTTCGCCGAGAGACCGGGCCGGGGGACGGTGCCCCGCAGGAGATGGAGATGCAGGAATGGCGGGCCGAGGCAAGAGAAGGGAGGATTTCCTCGGAGCACATCAGCTTCATCGATGAAGATGAGCCAGCAGTTTATGAGCCAGGAGTGTGAGGGGCAAAGCGACACAAGGAAATGGGAGCAAAGGAGACAAGATCAGGGAAATGCGGCATCAGCGTTCAAGTGAAGGAGCTACAACAGCACACATTGTCTTAAGGGGTGTCCAAACTAAGGTCCGAGGGCTCCTTGTGGCCTGCAAATACTAAAATACAAGGTCAAGGTCATCGTAGTTTCGATTGCTCTTGCCTTGACTCTGAATATGGAGATGGGATTCTGCTGCTGCTCAATGCCAGGGCCGATCTGGTCTCATGGGATACAAGGCAGCGAGCCACCCAAAAATCCAATTAACTTTTTGCTCTATCACCAGGCTGTTTAAAAAAACAAAATGTAAATATCTAAAATAAGCTATTTATAAAACAATACTTAAACACATATTCTTGTACACTGATGGATTGGTTTTAGCATGTCCAATAAATTCTGGGTGAAGAATGTCAAAGTGGCCCTTGCATCCTTGGATTTTTCTCTGTGTGGCCCTTGGCAGAAAAAGTTTGGACACCCCTGTCTTACAGTATCTCAGCGGTTGGCCGTCAATCCCTGCAGCTACTGTAGCAGAACCTTCTTGTGGAGGTTCACACGACTTTGAATTCTCATTTTGCTGAGCTCCGAATGAAACCGGTCAATTATTTGAGACTTTTGTTTCATTTTAGACTCAGCATGGACGTTTCCAAAACCGCTACGTTTGGTTTCTTCGGGCCACCTTCATCAGTGGGATGGTCATTGCTCTTTCCCTGCCCCCGAAACTTAAAAAGCAAGTCGTGGGCCCCTCCGTGTCAACAGCGCTTTCCCAGTTAGTACCACCGCCCAAGATGAAAGTATTCTTCAAATTTCATGAGTTTTTGTTTTATGTTTTTGATTTTGAATGTGAGCCAGCACAAAAAGGCTCAACCCCCTTGTTCAGAAATGTCATACACTGGAAAATGATTTTGTTGAAATTATTTTGTCAAGTTGTCAAAATGCAAAATAAAATCTTCTGGATCCAGATACATTTTTTTATGTACATGAACAGGCGACACAATAAGTAGATGTATAGGCTACTTCACAAATGTACTGGTATCTGGATACAGATGATTTTGTTTTGTGCAAACACTTGAGAGAAATAAAATGGAGTAAATTCAACACACCATATTTTTGGTGTAATCGTGCACAGTCTTTATAAAACTAATAAAAACCACAACTTTTTAAAATTAACTTTAAAGGAGAAACAAGAATCGAGTTTGTTTTGAAAGTTTTAGGCATAATTATTATTATTCAACAGCGCAGTTAAATATGTCATAGCTTCACATTATATTTAATACAATTTTGATCACAGTTTTAAAAAGAATTGTTCGACATTTAGCACACTAATGAAAATCATCTCCAAGTATCCAATCAACAATAGCCAGGGTAGCTTGTGTCAAAAGGCATTTTGCTGAGTAGGCCACGCTTCCTTTTCGACACAGATTTTCAGGGATTGTTCTTTTCTATTTAAGGAAGAACATGATTGATTTTTGAATCCAAGAGGTGAAAAATATATTGAAAATATTTGAGGCGGTGGGCATTTTACAAAATTTTGCTGGTCCGTCATTCGTCATCTGTCAGCGGCCTGGGTACCATACGTCATCGTCAGTCCGTCATTCTTTCAAGCCGAACCAAACTGAAATGTTTAGTTAGACAGTCCATCATGTTATTTTAACTCCGGTTCCGCCTATAAATTTACCCAATACGTCAGTCAGTCCGTGACGCCCCCCTGTCCCCCCCCCCCCCAAATTAAATTGTCAGTCAGTGGAGTGCACTATCTGTCATTGTATTTACATCATATGGGGGTTGCCCAAGCACAAATAACTCACATACACTTATTTGGCAATTTATTCAACTGCAGCTGTTTCAACTCCTAAAACTACAAAAACTTTTTATTTACACCTGACACCAGGTGAGGTTGCCCTACTTTCATTACCATCTTATGTCTCAACAATGGCCGAATGGATTTTCATGTATATTTGACCCCCGACATAACCCCAGGCAGCTACTATAAAAGGTCAGGTTGCAATTATTTGATTGCCTGTCTTCAAACATTCAGGGAATATAGGTCTTTATCGACTGTAACAGAGGATCCTGTTCATTTTTAATCCATCCGAGATAGCCAACAACAAGTATTTAATTGGCCCACGATAGCCCATGTAGCTTATAATACCGTAGTAGGTCCGGTTGCATGACCATAAAGCCTTCAGGGAATAAGACTCAATATCGATGGAAGATGGGTCTGATACAAGGAGATCCACTTAGTACATGATCATTTTCATCTAGATACACGCCACAATTTTCAACCACACAGCTTCAAACTTTCAAGCATATTTTGCATCTCATCACAAGAACCCAATTGATTTGAAAGGATTGTTGACCCAAGATAGCTCAGGTAGCTAATGGAAGAACAGTGATGATTTGGAATGAAAGTTGAGGCAACACAACGTTTCAGGGATTGTCATCAAATGTCCCTACAATAAACAAATTGCTTTTCAATGATCTTCGATCAAATGTTCACACACTTTCAGGGAATCGGGGTCTTCTGCGCTCTATTTCTAAGAAGAACCCGAATGCTTTTGAATGAGATCTGACACATGCAAAAAGGCCGAGGTCAAATGTTTCCAAAAAAATAATTGTCATCGTTTTTAAGCCTATCGATTTTAAAGGGCTTCTGACCCATGTGCCTGAATCTAATGTCATGGGTCGGGTTGCCCATCATCAAACTAAAGCAGACAGGGTTTGAACAGACGAAAAAAAAAGTTTTCCGCCCCGTTTGGTGACGTTTTTAAAAGGAATTTCATGGTGTGTGCCAAAGACAAACTTGTCATTGATAGGAAATAGAAACATGATGGTGGTGAGACTCTATCCTATAGTATTGTGACAGTTCATCAAAACTGTTTACAACTTTCACATCACTCCTGAGCTTTAGCCATCCAACCATCGGTGCCTTCTCCTCCATGTCAACACTCCTGATATCCCGAGCAGGCATTTGGAACAAAACAACAAAACTAAAAGCCATCTGATTAAACCTTACACCTTGATCCCAAAACATATTTTGTCATTTGTGGAAATGTGGATGGACTATTTTTGTTGAGGATCTCTAATGTAGCACACACACACACACACACACACACACACACACACACACACACACACACACACACACGCTCGTGTTAAACCCCTCTTTGCCAAAGCTGGTGTGAGACACCAGCCTGGCATACTACACTACCCAAGATGCATCCCTGGAAATGGTGTGAGGAAGTGGGACTCAGTACTACTGTATTTAAAAAAAAACTACTTGGTGATGTTACACCATGTTACTTGTAAAATATCATTGTGTTTTACTTTTTCTTCTCCTTCTCTCTTTTTTTTTTGTTTTCCACAAAAACGTGACAAGAAGGAACTCACTTTGGGTTGGGATTTTTTTTTTTTTTTTTCTGAAAATTAAAAATTGTGAATCCAATGCATGTCACAACTTTTGTTGCATGAGGAATGTGCCTGCTTTGGAGCTGCACAAGGGCAGCTGCGTGGAGACAAAAACCCCTGTGGGAGGTCTAACATGTATTTTATTATAAAAAAAAAAACAAAAAACAACACGAAAGGGAAAAAGACCTCTGTCACACAATACTCGAGCAGGGGTTCCGACAATAAAGAAGCATTCTTTTGTAATAACAATGGTGGACTCCTGTGATGTTTGAGAGAACCACTGCTATTCTCATTTGACACGTCATACTGTAAACGCCACCACAACAAAAAAAAAGTGTGATGAAAAGAAGAGCATAAAACCATAGCTACAGTGAAGTATGGTGATGGCAGCATCAGGAATAGGGCCACCATGAAGGAGTTTTCTTCATCTGGAAATTATATTTAGGATTGTAAAAGTTCTGACCAGCAGTTAGTGTTAGCACAAAACCTTCAGGCTTCTACTAGAGGGCTAATAAATCTCAGGAAACACCTACTCCAAACATTCAAATGTATTTGGAGTTCATCAGAAGCACTCGGTGGAACGTGTGCACTTACACTGATATTTTAATATGAGGATGTAAGTGCCAACAATTTTGATGGAATTGATGACAGAGAACAATTTTAAATTGTTTTTTAAATTGATGAATTAAGAAAAAAAAGGGCCGCAGAACCAAGGGCACCTTTTTTCACCCAGGACAAAAGGGCGGATGCTGGAGCATCACCTACTGGCTGTGGGTGCACATGCCTGTATACCAACAAATGACTATTTACTGTATTGTCTGCACTATAAGGTGCTTCCGAGTACAAGGCGCACCTTCAATGAATGGCCTATTTGAAGTGTTTTCATTTATTATATAGGGCGCACTGCATTATAAGATGCATAGAATAGAAGCCACAATAGTGGCTGCGGTTGCATTAAGCATCCAATAGATGGAGCTACTCTAAAGGGAATACAAAAAAATACAGCTTTATTTACATAGGGCTCTCACAATTGCCCAGTTTGTTGGTGACCCCACTAATCACATCAGTCACACGTTGGTAATGGTAAATGCTACATCTTCAATAAAACTCTTAAATAAAAGCTGAAAGTGTACACTTCCATCACATATTGATTTATTTCAGACAGTATCGGGAGAATAAAGTAGCGGCACAAATTAGCTCCTTTGTGGGGACTGCATATATTTTCAGTGAGAACATTCATCCCATCAGAGCATCGATGAGGTGTGAAATGTGAACACTCCGGAGAAGGAAGAAGAACTTGAAAAAATGATCGAGAATACGTATGACACCCAATGCTCTTAGTGTGCTGCTGCACTTCAGTTTCCAGATGTCTGATGATGAGGGGCAAGTCTCATTGGATAATTTTCTTGTGATATGCACAAAAAGTTTGTGAAAGTTTAACATAAATACAAGAGAAAAAAAAAAAGGAGTGAGGATGCTACAGGGCCGAGTGCGTGATGAATCAATTGCTTCAATAGGCAGACTGAAGACAAACATGACTTTTTTTGATTTCTAAACATGACTGAAAACAACACAGAGGGTAAAATTGGGGAGTAAAATAACATTCCAAAAATAGATATTTTTATGCTCATATTTATATATATTTACGAGGTAAGTATACACAAGAATGAAAACATCCACATTTCAAAATAGCTCTGTCTCTGTTTCCTTTCCCTCTAAAGGTGTCCTTTGTCTTGAGGAGATAAAAGAAGGAAAGTGCCCTCTTGAATTACAAATGCAAAAATAACAAGAGGAAAATCATCCAGTCCATGACAAGCACAATGTCACGTCAAAAAGCTACAAGCTTCACAAAAAATAGTCTCCAAACCATCATGGTAAATCGTGTCTTTCGAAGGGGGAAAAAAAAAGAAAGGTGTCTTTGTGCAACTCAAAAAGCTTCAGCCTTTAAACCAAACAAAAACAGCAGGCGTCCTCCCCGAGTGATGCTTGTGACTCCCCCCTGTGGTCATGCCAGGTACTGCTGCATGGCCGTCTTGGCACTGTGGAGACATTCGGGTGCATATGTTGTTTTGTTTGTTTTATTGTGATGAAGAGAGGGGTGAGTTGAGCTGAGGTTCGCACCTGTCGCTGAGGTTGGCGTCACAGGCCTGTGAGAGTTTGTGCAACATGTCTACGAAGCCTAACTCCTTCAGCTTGTCCTGGCGCTCCTGAGAACCTGACAACACACACAGGAGGGAAGATGTTGACTTATGCCCTTGCATAGTGTTTGTGTCAAATTTGACAGCAATGAATTTGAATCGAGATGTGGAGACTTTCAATGTAAATCTAGGACCCTCTCTATGACTATGTAGTTTGTTTCTTCGAAACATTTTGCGCCCCTCTACATTTTGTCCGACGTCAGCATAATTTGAATGCATTCATTAACAATGATCCCAGTAGGATCCTTGTGGTGTGTGCCGTTTTACCGTCGTCCTCGTTCCAGATGAGGTTAGTGATGCAGAAGGTGGCAGCAAGCTGCAGTTTCACATTGGAGTGACCCTGAGGGTTACAAATATGTCAGACACTTCAAATTTGCGACTGAGCCATAGAATCGGTTATCGTTATGGCCTGAGTATGGGGTGAAAAGTTCTTTTCGTCTGTCTTATTCTTGGGGCAAATAAATGATCATTATGAGGGCTTTGTCGAACTCAATAACAAGATGAAAAAAAAAACAGCCCAGTTGTTTAAGATGAGTAGACACACAAAAAAAAAAAAAAAAACTTGAAAAAAAACCTTGTGCACCAAAAGCCACAGGAAGTCAATCTTGGAAACACGTTGACCATTTCTAGTAGAATTTACACCGATCAGCTGAATCGAAATGGCCGATATTTAGCATTTTTATGCAAAATCTGTCCTTGGCTGTAATGGCCTATTTTGCCAATTGATCAATGACCCCAAGTGAGACATTACAGCAAACAAAATCTCATTCATTCGAGGACGTTCTGTGCTGCAATCTTGTATGTTTGAGCCTGAAAGCTACAGTAATCTATTTTTAGCTATCTGGCCATTTTGCCACTTATTGTTGACTGAAAATGACATCAGAGTAGCTCAGGTAACGACCAATGCACCTCCCAACTTTTGGAGGGCCCTTACCGTGATAATGCATAAAAGTAGGCCTACCATGTAGTATTTGATTTTCTGCAGCATGTCGTCATTGGTCATGATGAGCTCCTTGGCCGTGTTGCCATCGGCGATGTTAGCGAGAATGCAGAGTGCCTGCTCAATGATATGGTTTGAATACGAGTTAGTCACAAAAAGACAGCGGCAGACATCCGATAATAATAACGCGACTGTTAGGCTCCTTTCACCTGCTCTTTGATCTCCGCGCTATGCTCAGCCTCCAGGATGAGCGTGACGGCCTGCATGATCTGCTTCCCATGAGAACTCATGATCTGATCCATGTGCTGACGGCAAATAAACGTGCTGATGATACAACATGCTGGCCTTTATTTGCATGAATATTTAGAAATACAATTGTGTTTTTCCACCATAGAATGTAACCTCTAATATTGACAACTCAATTAAAAATGAAGGAGGTTTGTGCGAGGAGACGTAACAATAGACAACTGAGATAATGTGGTTGGGCAAGTGTGCGTAAATGGGGATCTGGCTGTGTTCCGAATTAAGTAATCACACGTAAACTTATGTTAAATGGGCATCAGAACACAACTGTCACCTTTTCAAATGCCTCTGCTTAAGCCCAAATAAATTTCAGATGTTGGATTAGGATTTTCCTAGCATGTTTTTTTGGTTTCCAGTAAAAGCCTGAGGTTGTTTTGTTTTGTTTTTTTAGAAGACTTACTGGTAGCATTGTGTACAAAATTGTGGCGATTCAATTAGGGAGTCGAAAGCGATCAGTGAAACTGAATTTAAGACTCGAATCAAATGTTAGAATATTGTTGCGGGTATTGAGGAAGGTCGGGATATGTGGCGTGTAGATGGGGAGTGTGCATGCGTGCTGGGGAGGCACACTGCTTTGGATTGGATTTGAATTTTATAAGCATGTATTGCAATAGTTAGCATTACATGAAACTGTTCAGCGAAAAAGGCGAAGTCCATTCTGGCAGTGGATCAACGCGGCTTTCGATACTTTCCTGCTGGCCTCTCACTCCGACACAACAAAAAAACGAAAGCTTATGGACCGCAAGTTCGGCCCAGAATGGACTGGCCATTGGGGAATCTCAGGAAATTACCGATAGCCACGGAAACCCTGGTTCCGCCAACATTCGCTACGCTTCAAGAGACTGGCGACCAGCACCAGGTTACTGTTTCTCCTGCTCGAATCAACAGCGAGACCAGTGTAGCAAGTCTGTATCCCTCCAGTGTAAGATCTCTGATGCATAGAGATCTTACAATGGAGAGATTACAGCTCGCTTGAAATCATACGTTCAAACAAAAACATCAGTTTAAATGCATCATGTAACACTGTTATTCAAGATATTTGATTGTTCTACGTTTCAATGCAAATTTTCAATATTATGGAGAAGTTAAAGACATGTGCTCATTAAAAGGATGTACAGTACTTGATTTTCTCTCTGACATCATCACAGTATCAGTAGAATATAAACAAAACTATTGTTGTTTGTGAAATCCGGAAAAACATGTCATTGTGACAGGCCTAACAATGGGTTAAAAAAATTACAGTGCTTTCTGTGTGCACGTGTATGTGTGTATATGTATATAAGTGCTCTCACAGGGCGTGTTGACAGGAGATTCCGCAGCAAACCCAGTGTCTTCATCAGCACATTACCATCAGGATCAGAGAGTAAGCGAAAGAGCTGCTCCGTTCCCAAACACTGAACAATCTCCACTCTCACCTTCTGGTCTGCCTGGAACGCCATGTTCTGTGTCCACGAGTACAGACGCACACATAGAGTATGGACAGTCAATGAAACTGTCTCCAATGAAGTCAGTTTGGAGTGTGTTCAGAGGAGACGTTTCTCACCATTAGGGCCCAGATTCCGTTGACCCGAAGTGCAGGACTCTCGCTCTGGGTCAGACTGCATAGTAGTTCTACGACACCTGATTCAAGGATGGGCTGCGCGCGCGCACACACACACACATGGACATGCACACGCACGCGTACACACAAAGCACAGATATTTGAGTAGAAATTCACTCGGAGCAGCAAACATCCAAACAAATTCAAACGTCAACGTGTCGATTCTACAAGAGCCACCTCAACATGGCTCATGGTGACCCGCAAGAGCCACCAGCCAAAAAGCAGGGCCCTGAAGAGGGTTTTGAAAAGTCAAAGGTGTGTGTGTTTATGTGTCCCTACCTCTTTACTGGGTGAGAACTCCAGCAGTAGGTTGCATAGTGTGGAAGATGCCATGACCAAGACTTCATCAGGGGCGTTTTGCAACAGCTACATGAAAACATGCAATACCAGAAGGGAGAAAAGGAACCAAATGATAAAATATCATTTTGGTGAATTGGTGCAATTCCTCTACTGAAGGAGAAATTTGCTTTTTGGTTAAAATTCAACTACAGTTTACACGAACCTTCATGAGGGGTTTCCACACTGCGTGATCGTGGAAGCTAGTCCGCAGCTGCTGCACCGACCGCGAGAGACTATGTAGACATCTGGAACAAGAACACGATAGAGGAACGCAGTATCGTAAGCGTAACACTATGCATTAATAACTGGGGGAAGGGAGAAAAAATAAGTGATTACTTAAATATTTTATGCCAAGCCACTTTGTCTTCATCCCACCTTGTCAACTATCTTTTAAATTGTAAGACTTTGTTCTGTTTGCAGTGGCATCAGATTTTACTGGTCACAATATTGGTGAAGTTCCGCCCGCTTAACATGATGAAATTTAGACTTCATAGAAAATTTTCAGATGTTTTTTTTTTTTTTTTTTTTAAACTTGAAAATAGCTATTCCTTTAATTCAGTGGTCCGCAAGCACCAGTCCGCGGACCTGTACCGGGCCACAGCCCATTTGGTACCGAGCCGCACAGAGACTGACCTGTGAGCTATGAGCATATTTACTCCATCAGGCGTGGCAGAAATGTGCGCGACTCTAGCCAACCCGAGTCCCCTTTCTAACATTGGTTTGCAAGTTGAAATAAGCAGTATCCACCAATAAATGAAAAGAATAAGCAGTAAACAGACGATGCTGATGGGCAGCCATGACCTCCGAAGATTAAGCTATTCTCACGAGAAGTTTCTCGTCTCTCCAGAGCGATGTAGACGAGGAAGCTGTTGTGCATGGCATTTCGTAAAAAAAAAAAAAAAAAGTAATACTAGAAACCTGTTGAATTATTATTAGTCACTTCTAAATCTGACCGTGCTAAAACCAACACATGTCCAGCCAGTGACCTGTCTCGTTTGATCATTGGCTAACAAAAACATGATGTGGAATGACCACTAAGCTATATCGTTAGCAATCATCCACTTAACTCTGATTAAAAATGTTTTTGTATCCTGAATATGTAGCGCCGGTACATGTATTCCATTACTCCCCAAGACTGTATGTGTTGTAAGAGTTCAAATATGACCTCACCTGACAGCTGCCAAGCGAACTTTAATGCTGGACTCTGACAGGCCGCTGACTATCCTGTCCATCATGTTCTCCGTCTCTGTGATCTTGACAAAGAGATACAAGAATGATAGATGTATACAATCATTACAATTATTCTATTACCCTACCATACTAAAAGGTGCACTCGATTACGAGGCGCACCTTCAATGAATGGCCTATTTTGTAATTTTTTTTCATATATTGGACGCACTGCACTATAAGATGCAATCTACAACGGATTCACTAGATGGAGCTACGCTCAAGGAAATGCCAACAGAACTGTAGCAACGCCACTCGGGTGAAGCGAGCTTCAGCAGTCCATAGTCCGCTGCTCTCTGCTGTGCGCGCGTGAGCGCGAGCGCAAGCACGAGCACGTATGCACGTGGTTCAACCAATCAGCGCCGACGCAACCACGTCACAGATCAAAGGAGCTTTGAACAAACGACAATAGCTAAGATAGCTTAGCTGTTGAGTGGCGTTGCTACAGAGCGATCAAATGTTAGTAAAACGTATTTAATAAAGCAGCGACACAGTTCACTTAACCAACAGCAAGTTATAACATTGACTCGTTAACGTTGAACTCTCTTGCCACTGCTCTATTTCCGTGTTCAACTGCATAACCCAATTGCCTTAAGTTTGAACTCTGCGTTGTAAACATGGCTCCAGCAAGGAGCCATTTTGGGGTCGACATATTACCGTAATAACCATACACAAGGCGCATAGGATTTTAAGGCGCGCTGTGAGCTTTTAAGAAAATGGAAGGCCTCTTAGTGCGGAAAATACGGTACAGCGAAAATATTTGCGGGGAACAGGCTCATCGTGAATAGCGAAAATCCACTACTGGAAGCCCTCAAAAATGTATGTACAGAAGTTGCCTGTAGATACAGGATACATACAAAGCTGCAAAGAAGCGCTTTTGTCTCAATTAAATTCCTCAATTTACATAAACCTGGTTCATTGGCACTAAGATACCACAAAACGGTAGCAATGCATTTTTCTTATCCAAATAAAGCTCCTCAACCTACTACAAGTCAGTTTCCACCAAGACACCACAAAATGGTGCTATAGTAATACATTTGTCAATTTGGCCTCAGCACAAAAAGAGGTAAATTTGTGAATGCTGAACCGCAAATATGCGGAGGCTGACTGATTTGAAACAGCATGGAGGGCAAACCTTCTTGCGGATGTCCTCGTCATTGGAACCCAATGAGGCGTACAGTTTGAAAGCCGCTTGCCTCAGCTCATGTGCATGCTTAAGGTCGTGGTCCAACTGCACAGAAAGCGAACTGTCAAAAACACCATGTAAAATGTGGACCCAAAAGTCCCACCTATGTCAACCCACCCTCTTAATGTCGGCAATGGCTGACACGGAGCTGGGGTACTTGAAGTAGTCGGCCAACATGGCTACCAGGTGGTCGGTGGTACTGGCGATCCGCTGCAACTCCACATCGGGCTCCATGAGGAAGGCCAGCGTCTCTGCTCCCTCCACTCGCTCCTCCAGTAGGTGCTCTTTGCTGCACATGCGCACCAGGCAAGGCAGCGTCTGCACCAGCAACAAATGCAGGAAGTCACATACACATACCTCAAAATATATCGGCAAAAAAACAAAAACAAAAAAAAAAAAAAAAAAAGAGAAAAGCACATCACCTTTAGGACAATGCAGCCGTCATCTGTCCTGATGGCACCTGCTCGACACATGTATGTGAGACTGCAGCAGAAAGCGTTTGTGTCAAATAAGATTCCAGTAGGAACATATCATCTGCAATTTGCTCACCATTTGGCTGACGTTAGCTGCATTTCAATGGGCTGATCCCTTTGCATCATTCGGACAAATACCTGAGACAACAGCTCGCCGTCCACCAGCACTGCAAGCATACACAAAACCTTATCAACGTGACGAACTATGGCTAAAGCAGGGCACACACACACACACACACACACACACACACACGCTGATTTTAGACTTTTTTTTTTCATGTGAGAGACCCCACACATGAGGAGTAAAAAGAAGAAATCACCATGTGAGTAAAGACTGTTCTTATAGTGTATGATGTACACTGTTCCCCCAGTAATCATGAGGGATAGAGACCAAGTCCTGCCGTGAGTAGCTAAATTCTACATGGTGCCACAGGGCAGCCAGACTGCCAGAAAATAGAAGAAAGAGGATTGGTAGAAGAAGAAATAGAAGAAACTAGTCTTGGGCTAATTGTTACCTTGTCAGCCAAACTCGGAATTGATGAGACATACCTAAGGATGTACTGTGGTAAATATCGAACGGATTTAACATGTATGATTGTCGGTCCCTGCGCTGTTTTCTGAGCAAAGCAGAGAGGAAAAGAAATCTTTTCCTACAACCAAAACCACAAGATCACTCAGGCTGATAATTGAGAAAATTTTGAGTATCGGGCCTCTGCTGACTTTGACTGCAAGTATAGCAAAAGTGGGAAAATTAGACCTATCTGTTTGTGTGTACCCCACTAAACAAGGACGATAGACTACAACACTCACCATTCACCAACGTCAAGGACACCTGAGTGTTCTCATAGGCCAGCACTGAGAAACATTTTAATGCCTGCATACGCACCTGGAAGGACAAGAAAAGGTTTACATCTGTTTGATTGTGCCTGCTTTCGATCAGCATGATAGTCAAGATGACGAACAAATGTGGGTTTCCATGACCCCATTCACATCAGCCATTTTGAAATATCAATAAAAATATATATTACAGATGTTTGATACCACAAATGAGAAAAACATATTACAATCAAATAAAGATAAAATATAATACAATAATCCAGAGGTAAAAATACTATTCATATTACAAAACAGAGGTACATACAAGTACCAAAAAAAAAAAAAAAAAAAAAAAAAAAACTTAAGCAAGAGGTAAGTAAAGCCCTCTGGATATTACACACAAATAAGTAAAAGCATGATGTGGCCTGTGCTGCAATCAACAGGAAAAAAGACCTTAAAAATGCACTGGGGAAAAAAAAAGATTCTATTTTTCTCAAATAATTTTGGGAGGCGACACATTAATTATGCACTCTTAGTAATCTATACGAGGGGTGTAAATAAAAAAAACTATTTGAATCGGAAAATCGGATTTGAGTGAGAATATTCGAGTGCATCGAATCTACTTGTTCCACTTTAAAAGATAGACATACAGATCCGCGAATCCGCTTATCCTCACGAGGGTCACGGGCGTGCTGGAGCCTATCGTGACCGTTATCAGGCAGGAGGCGGGGGACCCTGAATTGGTTGCCAGCCAATCTCAAGGCACTCAAACGAACAACCATTTGCACTCACAGTCACATCTAGGGACAATTTAGAGCAGTGGTTCTTCTTAACCTGGGTTCGATTGAACCCCAGGGGTTCAGTGGATCAGTCTCAGGGGTGCGACGGAGCCTCTGCCACGGAGGGTAAAACATACGCGACTCAACATTTCAATTCGTTATGACACGCCCGCTTGGCCATCACTGACTGCAGATGATCACATTACATTGCTTGTCCAATCAGTGCTGCAGGAAATTTAGTAGTCGACGTGTGACTGGTGTGATAGTACGTCGTAAAATTTAAAAAACGTATACTTATGTCTTGAAATCCTATTTACTTGCGTTTTTTATGTCTTGAATTTGTAAAAAGTCATATTTTTGTTTTTCACTAATGAAGGGTTTGGTGAATGTACATATGAGCTGGTTGGTTTCGGTACCTCTAACAAGGTTATTTTTCCAGTATATGGTGATAATTTACCCATATAATGGAACAAGTTTGTCGAAAAGAATGGTGATTTAAAACACCACTGTATTATTCATTTGGTAATGACTTCCAAATGGTGTTATCAGACATCATGGTGACTTGATGAATGAAGAAAAGTCAAATTAAAATGAAACATTCAATAAAACAAAACATTGCAGACATGATGGCCACTTACCTTATAAGAGGGCGATATCAGCAAAGGGGCAATGTTCTGAATGGCACCATGGTTAAACAGAACTGTCTGGTGCTCTGGAGTCTGAACACAAACCACCAAGACATAAATCAAAAATGTCTGCCTCAACTGTTGCCATGAGTCCTCAGACTGCTAATGAGTCAATACCAACAAATACCTTACAACAGTGGGAGAAGATCTGCGTGGTGTACTCCTGCGTCCTGTGTGAGTGGCTCAGCAGCGACATTAAATGGGGGATCACAGTTGGATCCTGCGGATAATTAAAAAAAAAAAGCATACAATGTTTTTTAGAGGGCGCGGAGGGGACATTTTAGCTAGAGCAAAAGTAGGAAGCTATCATACAGTGTAGAGCAGCTGTACTGGAGTGACGGGACTGATGAAAACCGTTCTGAGGCATCGAAGACAAGCCTCAATGAAAATCAGGTCAGGACACAAGAGACCTACAAGCAACAGGAAAGAATTTAACCACTGATGATGATGACAATGCTCCCGGAGATTGGAGGATACTTGTGCCCTAACCTTGAAGAAGGGCGGGGATGATGTGGCAGTCAACCAGGGACTTGATATTGTTCTCAGTGCCCATCGCCAGGCTGCCCAGCACCACCGCACACTCTGTCCTTAGCTCCAGGCTGGAGGAGGTCTGTTGCAGAAGGTACAGTAACCTACAACATAGAGACAGACGCGCACACACACACACAAACATTATACTTTTAATACAAATTCTCTCTCTCTCTCTCTCTCTCTCTCTCTCTCTCTCTCTCTCTCTCTCTCTCTATATATATATATATAAAAAACATTGTGGGGAAATAAAGAAAAGCTGAAATCACCCTCTCTACATACGGATAGATACACATACGTAACATATGCATACATGGCAATGGCGAGTGATGAAAAAAGCGGAAGGGGCGTGGCCTGGACGGGGGCGTGGCCTGGACGGGGCGTGG